AAGGAAGAGGAGGAGGAGGAGGAGGAGGAGGAGGAGGAGAAGAAAAGAGAGAAGGGAAAGAGAGAAGGGAAGGGAAACGGAGAGGGGAAGGGACGGGATGGGAAGGGAAGGGAAACATTGACATGAGAGAAATGTCACCTACACATGCCCTGACTGGGGATCGAACCCCCCAACCTTTTTGGTGTACGGAGTGATGCTCCAAGCAACTGGGCCACACTGGCAAGGGCAAAACCTTAGTTTTATCATCTGAAAGATGAGGTAACAATAGTTATCTTGCTGCATTGTCATTATGATTAAAAATAACAAATAAAAGTTCTTGGGCTATATAGTAGGTGCTCAGTGGTAACTATTACCCATCACTTGTCCTAGTCTCTCTCCAGGGTGAGCACAGGGTATCTTTCAGAGTATGTGCTCCATAAATACTCGTTGCCCCAGTGGCAAGTTAGATCACTACTAAAGCCCAGCTGTACTCAAGTCTGGAAATTGATACATTAAAATAGCCATTACAGTATTATAAAGCACAAGACATTGGACAAGAAACAATTATCAAATGCAAGCATTGTGGAGAGAAGTAAATACATCTACTTTTTAAAAATTTTTAATTGTTCAAGTATAGTTTTCTGTCTTGTACTCCATCCCAGCCCACCCAATACATCTATTTTTAAAGAACACCCAAAGGACACAGTGGGTACGAGTACGTGTGTGTCATTTTACAAAGACAAGAATTCAACGTAGCCGATGGGATGAACAGCACAGCATTTGGTGTGTGGAACACCTTACACACAGGAGCCACACCTGACTCAGACCTCTAACTGCGGGTCCGAAATCAAACTTTCCAGACACCCCTAGTGACAGCCCAGGAAAAGCCCCCAATAAGAGAATTATTCAGTGTGACTGTGGACAAGAGTAAATAGCAAACTACAGGTAATGTTACTGCAGAAGAAATCTTTTTCTATGTTTGGGGGCTACATAGTTTGTGGGGTCCGGTCACAGGAAATGTCTCCCAAAGCATGAGCTCTCTCACACCTGAAACAATGTTATCACTGACAAAAGTGCAAGGTCAAAGGAACTGGGTGGCTTACCTCTCCGTGGGAAGATGTGCTTTGAATTTCTACAAGGAGGTTTCACACGGATATTTCTGAAGAACAGCCCTGCAATCAACTGCAGATGGCTTGTAGAAGTATCTGATATTGTCCCCTACGTGCTTCTAAAGGAGTGCTGTCAACGGAACTTCCCGTGAGGGTGTTCTCTATCGGTGCCGTAGCCACGGACTGTACGGCTGTTAATTACATTAAGAATTCAGTTCACTGATACACGGCCAAGGATCGTCATAAAGCTATCCCGTAGTCCCTTCTTATCCGCAGGGGGATACATTGCAAGACCTGCGGCGGACGCCTGAAACCGCGGGTGGGACGAACCCTACACTACATACCACCGGTTTTCCCTCTGTGTGCACTCCCTTTCTCTCTAAGGAAGCACTCTGCAGCTTCTCTTCGGCATATCCAAGGGGTAGCATCACTACTCATGCTTTTTGGCCCTTATTAAGTAAAATAAGAGTTACCTGAATGCAAACATTGCAATACTGTGACAGCTGATCCGATAACTCTGACGGCACTACGTGACTAATGAGCGGGGGCGTGTAAATCATGGATACACTGAACAGAGGGATGAGGCAGGTTCTGGCAGAACAGAGTGGGACACCTCGAGATTTCATCACTCTGTTCAGGACACTGTGCAATTTAAAACCTACATATTGTTCATTGCTAGAGTCTTCCACTTAATATTTCGGGACCACGGTTGATCTTGCATGACTGAAACCTAGGTAACTGAAAGTGTGGATGAGCTGGGGAGGCCTCTACGGTATTAACAAAGACCTGTGTTATTGGTGCAACTGTAGACTAAACCAACCTATTGAACAGAATACAGTTGGGAAATAGGTCCACGCATATATGGTCACCTGATTTATGATGACTGCAAGTGTTGAGAAGTGATCTTCTAAATAATGATTTTGGATTAATTCGATGTCCACATAGAAAAACAGGTATCTGGACCCATGTCTATATCCCATCATTTACAACAATCCATTTCAAAAGGTTGGCAGTTCTAAACTGGCAAACTAAGACAGTAAACTTCTTAAAGAAAAACAGGAGTCATCTTTATAAGCTGGAGTAGGCACAGGTTTCTTAAATAAGACCATAAGACAGTCACCATAAAAATTGATAAACTGGAGTATTAAGATTAAGAACTTTTTTCAAGATATCACTAAAACGATGAAAAGGAACCCAGAATGGTAGGAGATGTTCGAAACACAAACTGTCAAAGGATGTGTATTTTAAAAGTCCTCTTATAATGGCTGAGCAAACTCTGCTTTATTTATCCGAGGGAATATTACTCAGCAATAAAAAGAAATGAATTACTGACATGCAACAACACAGATGAATCTGAAATACAGTGTGCTGAGTAAAAAGTCCTACACAAAGGAGGACATGCTGTGTGGCTCCAGTTACAGGAGATTCTGCAGCAGGCAGAGCTGGGCTACAGTGGGGAGAACATCAGGACGGTGGGTGCCCCCAGGAAGGTAGAATGGGGACTGACCACAGCGGGCACTGAACTCAAAACTTGTTATCTGAAAACTCGGCGGTGGACACTGAAGAGTTGTGCATTTCATTTGATGTACATTTCGTATCAAAAGAAACCTTAACTATCGACTTTTAATTAATGATGTACATGTTGAAATATTTAGAGGATGCGTATTGCTACCTGCAATTTATTTTGAGGTCCAACATTACGATGAATAAAGGGAAGGGGAGAAACATAACAAAGCAAGTTTTATAAAATGTTCATGGTAGAATCTGTGTGGTAGGTTTATGTGTGTTTACTGTAAAACTCTTTAAACTTTGCTAAATATTTGAAAATTTTTATAATCAAATGTTAGGAAAAATCAAATGAGGACAGCTCAGAAAAATGGGCAAAAAATTAACAGGAATTTCATAAAGTTATTTCTAAATAACCAATAAACATATATAAAGGGCCCAGGCTGGTGTAGCTCAGTGGATTGAGCATGGGCTGTGAACCAAAGGATCGCTGATTTGGTTTCCAGTCAAGGCACATTCCTGGGTTGCAGGCCAGGTCCCCAGTAGGGGCCGCATAAGAAGCAACCACACATTGATGTTTCTCTCCCTTCCTTCCCCTCTCTCTAAAAGTAAATTAATTAACTAATTAATTAATTTTAAAAATGTATGTAAAGGTACTCAACTTTATTAATAACTAAGGAGATGCAAAATAAAATCATATGGCATGCAATTATCACCTACCAAAATAGACAAAATGAAAAAAGATGAAAAATACCAAGTGTTCATGAGAAGGAAAAACTGGATCTCTCATTTGTGGCTGATAGGAGTGTAAATTGGTGTAAATCCTTTGGAAAACATTTAAAAATATCTACTAAATTTGAACATAGTACAACCTATGGTCCAACAATTCCCTTTCTAGGTATATAGCCAACAGAAATACATTCATTATTCATTATGTTCATCAAAAGACATAATGTTCATAGCAGCAATATTTTTAATGCCTCCAAGATGTAGACTACACCAGTGCCTAACAATTGACTGGATAAACTGTGGTACGTTCTCACAATGGAATGCAATACAGCATTCTCATGGACAAACTATAACTATAGTCAAAATATGGGTGACCCTAATGAACATAATGAGTTCAAGAAACCAGACACAAACGAGTGCACTGTAATTGTTCCATTTATACAGTGTACAAACAAGAAAGCTACCCACTTACTACGTACTTTTCCAAGTCAGGATGGTGGAAAACCCTTGTGTGGAAGGAAGTGGTAAGTGATGGGAGGGAACTACTTTTTAAGATTTCTTAAATTTACTTTTTGGAAAGAGAGAAACATCAGTTGCATGGCCCCAACTGGAGACCAGGCCTGCAACCCAGGCATGTGCCCTGAATGGGAACCGAACCCACAATCTTTTGGTTCATAGGATAATGCTCAACCCAGGGAGCTACACCAGCCACAGCAGGGAAACACTTCTAGGAGGCTGCTTATGTTCTGTTTCCTGAGCTCCTTGCTGGTACGACATGTTTGTAAAATTTCAGCAGGCTGTTCATTCACGTTCATGGCTTATGTACTTTTCCATAGGTGTGAATAAATAGAATTCACCACCAGAACCTATGGGTAATAAGAGGCTACAAAAAGATTTGACATTTGAGAAACTTGAGAAGGATTTGAGATACATAATCAGCTTTGCATAATCTTTGCATCGAGATTAATCTTGGCTTTGTAGATGGTGGGGAGAGGAGTTAAGGGGCCTTCCGTAGACGTAATCCAGGCAAACTGTGAAGGCCCGAATTAAAGTAGAGCAATAGGAATGGAGAAGAGAGGGTGTAGTCGATATTTAAAGAGCAAACAGAACTTCAGGCAGGTCACTAAATCCCCTTCTGCCTCTGGTTTCTGCACTTGCAAAATATTAATTGTGCCTACTTCATTGGTGATTATTCTGATGGTTTAATAAGTTAAGGGACGAGGGGCCTGGTGATGTTCAAAAAATAAAGTTCTCATTCCACACTATGCTGAGTGAGATATAGGGTATTGAGATTAGAAAGCTGTAAGAGAAATATCTTTATTTGGAAAGGGCCATAGAAGCCTCCTCGTCTAGGTCAGGGTGAGTGCTGGACACAGGGTGGAAGGCCAAGATTAGGAAAGAGACAGAACCTGTCAGAATCTGGGCTTGAGAGTTCCTAAAACGCCACAGGTGAAGCGTTAGCACTCACTCCCTCTACCGAGCTCAAGCACCAGCACCGGGTAGGCGTTTCCTCTGCGGTTCCCCACCCTCTAAACAGAGAGGTGGGGAAAAAGAGACCAATGGCACACGAGCTTTTCCGTGTTTAACCAACCGGATGCGCTCAGGACGCCCCCTCATCCGGTGATTGGCAGACAGTGTCTCCAGGGTTCTCGCGAGGGTACAGGTCACAGGGTCCTCAGTCCGTGGGTCAGACTAGTGGAGGTTGTTTATCCGCTTCCGTTGCCTCGGTTAAGACCTCCGCCGACTCCCAACTCCGAGCCGATCTCGAAGGGCAGTGGACGTTGCCGGGGAGTTTGACGAGCCTCAGGGAAGGAACTGCCTTTCTGAGAACCCCGGACCCACCGTGCCAGAGGCCAGCGCAAGGCGCGGCCCCTGCTTTGTGTTCTTTTGGCACCAGAGCTCGGCTTTCCCTCGGGCTCACCTGCCTTCTCTGCAGGTGCTGAGATTCGCTGTCAAAGTGGCTCAGCTGCTACTTGGCAGAAGGAACCTGTGGTCGTGAAGTGCGACTTGATTAGGCCCTTCCAGGTACTAACGCTCACGCCGTGTTGAAGGGTTTGCGACCCCGAGTGAGCATGAGTTAAAAATAGTGGCTGAAGTTGCGGCTCTCTTGCTAATACACTTTTGAATGCGTGCTGCACAGTGTGATAGGGTGCATAGAGGGATTTAGCTGTCTCATTTAAATAGTCGGCTCTTGTTGTCTTACACCTTTTCCAGCTCATGCTTTTCCTGCTGCTTTAGATAGTTCAAGTGGGGGTACGGTCACAGTTTGTTTCTAATACAGACACTTAAAGCAACCCTATTCACTGCTCAAGAAGGTAATGCAGATTCCTTCAGTAAAGGACCATGTCAGTATATATTGAATTCTTGCATTTGGCAAACAACATGAAAGAACTTTATACTTAAGGCTAAAATTCTTGAGCCTGAGTATGTTAGCACTGCCAAAAAAAAAAAGGGAGGGGGGGCAAATGGGGATTGGGAAGAGAATATTTAACCCTATAGATACCAGAATTTTCTTGTACTTTTCATGGAGAATCACAAATGTTGGCAAGGATGTGGGGAAATTAAAACCGTGTGCATTGCTCGTAGGAATGTGAAATGGTGTAGCCACTGCGGTGAATAGTTTGGTGGGTCCTCAAAAACTTAAACACAGAGATACCATATGATCCAGCAATCCCACCTCTTGCTGGTAATACGCCCAAAAGAGGTGACAGGAATTCGGTTGCTTATACACCAGTGTTCATAGAAACATTATTCTCCATAGTCAAAATGTGGAAACAACCCAAGTGTCCATGTAGAGATAAGCAAAATGTGGTTGGTATGCACATACAATGGGATATTATTCAACTTTAAAAAGGAGTGAATTATACCTGTGATGGGGTTCAAGTGGAACTTGAAAACATGTTAATTAAGTGAAATAACCCAGATAACAAAGACAAATACTGTAAGGTTCTACTTATTTGAGGTTCTTAGTGCAGTCAAATCCCTAGAAATGGAAAGTGGAATAGAGGTCGCGGAGGACTGGGGAGAGAGGAGGAGGGGCCTACTACGGGGCACCCAGTGGCTGTTTGTGCACATGGGGAAGGTCTGGAAATGTGATGGTGGCGCGTGGTGAATGCGGGTAATGCCACTGAAGTGTACACTTAAAAGTGATTAACAATCCATTTTATGTTATGTATATCTCATCACAATAAAAACAAAAAATGACTCATCAATAGGTATAATCGAAAGTCACAACCATTGAAAAACCTTGTTTTAATTTTAATCCTAGTATTTGCATTGTTCAGCCATAATTTGTGGAAAACCCTTTCAAACTTCAAGAATTCAATGAAATCATTTATATTCCAAGTTCACAACATGCTATTTCTCCATGTATGTGTGTTTATTTTAAACTCTGAATGCACTGGGGAGTATTTTCAGGATGAATATGAGTAACAGTACTTACGTGTCAGAATTCCTGGGGACCCAACCACACATACTGTATTTAGCAGACAAGGTATCATCAGTACCCACTCTCGTTATGTATTGGGAAAGAAACTATTTTGGTATTTTGCATTTGAGACTTTATGTCAACATGATTAGAAAAAACATAATTTCAACATAGATCATTCTAAATACACACCCAAGTGTTATTAGGTTGTATTTTTTTATTCTTAGGAGTTTTTTGGGGGGAGCGGTAAATGCTTTCTACACATAGCTAATGTATTTCAAGTCCCAATTTTCTACCCATTTGACAAGTGAGAAAATGCTGATTCACTTTCTCCCCTTTTGTAGGTGGGGAAATAGAAGGCATTCAGGCCGAGAGGTCATGGCGCCGAAGCTTCATCAGCTCCTCTAAAGATATTTGCACTCTTCTGTGGAAGTTTTTGCTCATTTTTCACGTGTGGCCCATGCAGTTGGCAGAGTGGTGGTTACTGGGACGCATCACAAATTTCAGCTGGCCACCACATTGCTTTCAAGGTTGCCATCTAACTTTGTGAGTAGAAGTGAATAGAATTACTCTTTTTGTTTTAATCATGAAAATGAGTGGTCATCATTTTTAGAGCAAAGAATTCACATTAAACTTTGTGCAGAGTTAACTCAGTCTGTGGGTGAGACACTTGGAATGTTCAAAGTCGGTGATAGTAAAGAAGTAATATCAAGAGCAAGAGGTTTGGACTGGCCCAAAAGAAGGCAGAGATGACATCCAGGGTGATGCCCGAAGTGGCCGTCCAGTCACCCACAGGGCACATGGAAACATGGAAGGGGTGGTTTGCTCAAGTAGACAATTAACTGTAAGAAAAAAGGCTCAAAACTTAAATTTAGATAAGGAAACAGACTCATTCTGAAAAGAAAACTTGTGGTCGATGGGGCGTGGTGCTCCCGCTGGTTGCGCTGATACCGGTGCGGGTTGGTACTCTCTTTTAAATAATTTACTCTAAATTTTTTTCTTAGGGCGGGTGGCGCGGGGGTGAGACAGTGGAGACCAAACCAAAATAGAGTTGCCCAGGAATCTGCCACTTGGGTGTGTGTAGGTTCAGGGTGCAATTCTACACCTTTGTGTCTTTGGTCTGAAGAAACTTCAGGTTGACTCCAAAATGGACGGAGCTTCTTCAGTCATGTTTCACTGGCCTTTGCAGGTCCATGATTTAAGCGGAGTGCAAACGGCACTGTGGAGCGTGACAAAACAGCACAGGGAGCCGGAAGTGCATTAGGAGGGACCTAGCAACTGAAGAAGTAACATGGGAGCATGGTCACCTTATTTCTTTAAGGTGAGCTCATTTGAATAAAAAATGGTCAAGAGCCCATAAAACCTGTCTTTACGTAATCTAAATCCCAACTTTAAACAGTTTTCTATATGAACTATTCAGGTTTGGAATTTGGCATGAAGGATAGACAAATAAAGCTGGGTTTTGATCTTTATTTCATGGGGAGGAGGAGCTTCCATAGGCTAAGGGGGGTTTCGACATTTTCCATGTACTACTGAGTGTGGTGGCCATATCTTAAGATTCTGTTCTAATAAGCATTCATCGAAAGGAAGGTGTTATCTTGAATATTCCTGAGACCATAAAGATCTTCAAGAACATTCTGGTCAAAATTGGTAGCTTTGCTGAAACACTAATACAAATGCATCAGTAATTCACGTTAGAGTTGATAGAGATACGGTGTTCTTATGCAGAAGCAATACATGAAAATAATTTCACATAAAAGAAATTTTGATAAACCTAGAAAATAATGCAAGGGAAACAATTCCACATATATTTGCCCATTAACATCACCATTTTTAGTTAGGGAGCTAGTCCAATCATGCATTATTCTTTCCCATAAGAATAAATTTTGACTTCGTCAAGTAGGAACCTCTCATTCAGAAACTTGGATTCTTCACCCCCACGCCCTTCCCAGTCTCCAGTATGCGCCCACCCTCATGCAGGACTGGCGTTGCTGCAGTCTAGAGACACCAAAAGTTCCGTACACTGGACTCAAGTCAGAGCCCTGTGACAATGACCCTGAGACAACTAGTTTTACTAGTTACAATACTTCTTTTCAAAAACCTCCCAGACGTTCAGGTTTACATTTCACGGAACATGAGCCAAAACTAATTGAAGTTGATTATGGAAAACCTGTCTCATTCTAATGGTCTGCATTCGCTCTGGGACACTGCTGGCTAAAGCTGCATGGCCCTCACGGCAGATGTTGTGGGCGTTAGAGTATTTTTTCCTGTTGTCATGTTCCCATCACTGAATTTTTACAGCTCAAACTTTGGATGGTGTTTTGTACTGTGTACTGAAATTTATTAAAAGTATACCTAAGCAACTGATATTCCAATAAACCATAAGTTGACTTTTTATAGTTTTGATAGTCTGTTTTATTATGAAGTTTTTGCCAATCCTTCATATTTTAGCCTTGTGTTCATGTCTCTCATGCTTTAAACCTGAATGAATTCTAATTCATTGCCACACCTTGGTGTTTTCTAAGTGGCTGATGACTAGATAAGATTTACCCCTACTTCCTCACCCATAAGCACTGATAAAGCAGTGTAGGAGGCAGTGTGGGCTGGTGAGGCTCCAGCTCCAGCTGCATTTGTGGTCTCAAGCTGTCCATCCACACTGGTCACCCGAGGCGGCTGTTACAGATTACGAGACTTGGTGGCTTGAACAACAGAAATTTATTTTCTCACACTTCTGGAGGCCAAAAGTCCAAATCAATTTCACGGGGTCAATCAAGTATGCAGCGGTGGGCAAAAGTAGGTTTAAAGTTGTTCATGTGGCAATGATATAAATAATAAGTGATAGTAGAAGAATAAAGTCTAGTTCACATACTCATAACTGTAAATCTACTTTTGCCCTCCCTGGCTGGCGTGGCTCAGCGGATTGAGCGGCGGCCTGCGGACGGAACAGCCACTGCTTCGGTTCCCTGTCAGGGCACACGCCTGGGTTGTGGACCTGTGATTGGTGTTGCTGTTCTTCTTTTTCTCCCTCCTTTCCTGTCTCTCTAAAATAAATTAAAAAATAAAATCTTTTAAAAAATCTACTTTCTCCCATTCCCCCTATACAAACAGGCATAGTGCATTTCAGAGGGAAAAAGCAAGGGCAAAGGCCCCAAGGAGAATGTGTTTAAAGGTTTCGGGGGGGAAGCAAGTGAAGCTGCAGAGGTGACCTTGCGGGAGGGATGTCGTGCGTTTGTACGCAGGGCTAGGGTGGACATGTTAGGCTGTTCTGAAAACGGCAGCTTGCTTTCTAGCCTCTCAGGCCTCTGAATGCTGTGGCTTTTGCCTAAAACGCTCCCTACCACCCATGCATTTTCCCAAAGTAGTTACTTTACTGTAACCACTGTCGTCCCTTCCTACGTTCCCCACACGCCCCACCCCCAGCCCCACTGCCATACGCAAGTGCTTCTGTTCCGGATTTCTGGAGCACCCTATAGTGGCCTTGTCACACAACAATGCTCAGTGGCTGCTTATTTAGTCACCTGACTGTCCTGCCCCTCCATTCCTCAGGCTCTCTACCTCGACAGGAAAAGTCGGTCGTGGTTCCCACCACATTTTCAGGGTCTAGCCAAGTGCCTGGCGTATTACAGGTTCTCAAATAGTTAAGTTGAGCCATAAACCCCCGTGAGTATAGTACAAGGGACACTATCATTTATAATAAAGCTTGATATCAATCATTGTATTGAGCTGATTGGCATATGGCATTCAAGTGAGTGGCTTCCAGCCACCTGATTGTAGGAGCAGCGTCATAAGTGCCTGAGTTCAAATCCCCACACTTCCATGTGATCTCAGACCGGTTACCTCTTAGCTTCAGTTCACCTGTGAATTGGTAATCATTAGAGCCACTAAAGTTGAGTTTATACATAGTACATCTAATTACCTGGTGAGCACTAAGCACTCAGTAAATGTCATATTCGTTGGTGGTACAATAGGATCGTTTTTATGATACTGTGCAGTCCTTGTGGTATTAGAACAAAATGACAGTGCTGGTATTTGGTACTTATGCACTACTAAAATGCTGGACGTTAACGTTCAGTGACTCACAGACCACCTACTATGGGCCGAGCACTGTTCTCCGTACTGTGAGCACAGCAGACGAAAATGAGCGCGTGTGGTTGCTCGGACCCACTGATGGCGGCTTCCCAGCTGAGCAACAGCAAAGTGAGAGGGGAGAGGAGGGTATGGGCAGGACGAAGAGCCTTCGTGAGGTGACGTCAAATGCCAAGTAGAGAAAGGGAAGGCAAAATCGAGAGAAAACGGTCCTAAAGCCTTAGCAGGCTACAGCTACGGCTACAAACAGCAAGTTCTGGCAGAACAAGGACAGCGTAGAATAGCACGTCAACAGTGGTCCAGTGAAGGCGAAACTGGCCAAGAAAATGGCAGGATTTTGTAGCTACTGCCAAGGGGAAAGATGTAAAACTGTGTGTGTTAAAGTCTGAAACTCCAGGCTCCAGCACATTTCCAAGAGTAACCGCTGGTTCCACAAATGTCTCCATTCCACTGAGTCCGGGTGGTGGCCCTTTGCTCCTCGAGGGGTCGTTTGGGCTCAGTGAACGGGTGGGGACCCCGAGTCTGCCACAGTCCCTCCTCTGTCTCCCACTCCCCAACTTCATCAGGGCAGCTCTGTGTACACTTTGGTTTTCCAATTTTTTTTTTGGCAAGAAGGGTGTTGCTCAGTTTGAAGTCCATGAGAGTGAAGGACAGCAGGTGAAAGCTGTGAGCAGTTTCTTAGCCAGGGAGTGAAACACTGCCAAGGGAGGAACAGGGAACTTACTTTCTTTAAAGGAGCTTCACAGACTTCAGGATTTAGAACTACAGAGATACTGGAACTGCACCATTCAGTATGACAACTATTAGTCCCATGTGGCTGTTTACATCAAAAGTAAGAAAAGAATCAGTTCAGTGGCATTAGCTACATTGGCTAAGGGCTACTGCCCTGGACAGCAGCTAATAGAACATTTCCGTTACCGCAGCAAGTTTTTATTGGCTGTATTGTTCTAGGGATTACACGGTGCAGCCGCCTTGTTTTACAGAAGGAAAATCTGTGAAAACCTAGAGATGGTGTAGTAGCCTGAATACTACAGAGACATCAGGTCCTCATTTTATTTTATTTTATTTTTTTAATAATTAATTTTATTTAGTTATTTTTCAAGTACAGTTTTTTGTCTATTTCTCCCTTCCCAGCCTCCCCCACCCCTTGCTCCCCACCTCCCTCCCATTTCCACCCCCCTTAGTTCTCGTCCCTGTGTCCTTCCTATTTGTTCCTCCAAATCCCTCCCCCTTTTTCCCCTTAACTTCCCTTCCTTCTCCCCTCTGGTCACTATCCCCTTGTTCTCTATTTCGGTGTCTTTGTTTTTTTTTTTTCTGCTTGCTTGTTTGTTTTGTTGTTTAGCTTCCTGTTAAAGGTGAGATCATATGGTATAGGCCAGGTGCTGAAAGACAAATACCATATGATCAGGTCCTCATTTTAAACCTGTAAATTCTACCTTAGTTGTACAAAGGTCTTTGCAGATGTGATTAGGTTAAGGATCTTGAGATGGGAAAATCATTTTAGATAATCTTTTCGGCCTCTAAATTGAATTACAAGTGACTTTATAAGGAGGCAGAGGAGATCCCATACACAATGTTGGCCTTGAGACTGGAGTGATGTGACTTCAAGCTGAGGAAAGCTGGTAGCCACCAGAAGCTCCAAGACTGGGGGGATAGACCCCACCTACCCCTTACCCCCACCTCCTGAGCCAGCATACTATTACAAAGAAATACATTAGTTTTGTAGGTTTGGGCTAAGTCCATTTTACTTTTAGAAGTTTACTTTTGCTTCCTTACTCCTTTGTGCATGGATGTCTAGCTCCCTTCTGACGTTTATCAACCATGAATGAGCTGGGGTTTACTGCACAGATGGAATGGAAGGGGACAGGGCAAGACCGCAGGATTATTATAAGGGCTTTCCTACTTGGAAGGAAAAAAAGTGGATTAAAAGAAACTCCCGGGGAGCTATAGGATTAAGGTGTGTTTATGCAAGACAGTAAAAGAGAAGAGGACCATGGTTGCACAGCAGTGGCTGAGTGCTAGAATGTATGGATACATCTTATTTCATTTCTTGTCTCCACCAAAATCATCTTAATCACATTCCCCAACCACACCCAATTTGAAGTCCTATCATTTCCTGTTAAAAAACATTTCAACAGTTTTCCATTGTCCTTAGCATAAAAGACAAACTCTATCAGGGTTCGGTCCCCAAGCTACCCTCTTCTCAGGCCACTCTGCTCCTACAGCCTGAAGTTCCACGTCCACTTCTGGGTCCTGAAACAGGTCAAGTGCCTTCCAGTTCCACGTGCAGCCTCTACCGAAAGTTGTTTTTGTGCCTGAAGAGCCCCAAGCCCACCTGAGAGGATGATCTTGATCGATGAGTAGTATGTAGGCCATTCGTTTATTTTCCTTCTGGCCCTACCCCCACACCTGGTGTGGGGAAGTGTACGAAGTGTTTTGAGGGGCTAGACCTTCACTGTTTTTCAAATCCCAGATCCCCCACGTGCTTCCTGCTCTGTGACCTCGGAAAGTTATTCAGCGTGTCTCGGTTTCCCCACCATAATGTGGGGATGATAAAAAGTATTTGAGGATTAAACTCATTAACAGATGGCAAATCTTTGAAACAGTAGTAGAACTTTTCAGTTTCAAATATACTCCACTTTTATTCCACTTGTTTGCCGCCTTTGAGTCTGTCACTTAAGGAAAGGCTTACAGCGGCCCACCCCTGACTCATTACACCCTACTTTTCGACACTGTAAAGGAGGGACTAGCAGGAGGAAGGGAGCTGGGCCTCCCAAGTTTAGAAGTCCTGCACTGCAACTTGAAAGAAAAGCGGTCCGACCTCTCTAAGCTTATGGTTTCGCAGGACAGACTCTAATCCCATAATGGACTAGCGTGGTTGTATGAAAGGAAATTCCTGGGTCGTGGCCCAGCCCACGGCTAGGGCCTCCACAGAATAGTCTCACGGAAGGAACTTTGGCCTTCCAGAACCAGACCCACGAGGGCCTAAGCCTGGGGAGGCGCCGGGGTTTTCAAAGTTCCCAGAAGGAAGCTGAGCTTGGAAGTAGCAAGAAGCCAGGCGGTTGGAGGGCTGGCGGGGACCAATGGCCCAGCTCGCTCCGCCCACAGCCTTCTCTGGGATTGGCTGCCCAGGACCGCCCTCCGTCCCGCCCCAAGCCGCGGAACTAGGTCTGCGGTGCAGTCGATTCCCCGGCCTCTTAGTCTGGTGGAGTTGGGAGGTGAGTGCACCTTTTGCCTCCGGTCCCTGGCAGTAGGGTAGGGAGGTCACCCGAAGGGCCTGTGGGCCGGGGTGGGGCTGTACTTGTCCCGCGTCCCCTCGAGCTTTGCCCGCCCGGAGCTCCTCTGTTCCCGGTGGCCAGAACGGAGGGGTAGAGCAGCCCTTGGCGACCCGGGGGACGGGCGGCCGTGCCCGTCTCGCGGCCGCACGAGGCACAAACACTGCGCTTGGCCGCTCGGAGGGTTCCCGCGGGCAGGGCAGGCCGGGGGCACGGTCACAGGGTTGCGCTTTGTTTCCCCAGGGCGCAGCCGCCGCTAATTTGTAGCAGGATGGCGTTCTGGTTCCACTCGGCTTGCGGGGGGCGAGAGCCTGTCTCAGACGGACCTTGGGCCTGGGACGTTTGTCCCCAGCGTCTGCTGGGGTGCAGCGGCCTGAGGTCTAAGCACAGGTACGACCCCGTGCATGAAATGAAAGGACGCGGGCCCAGAGCACGTGGCAATGGCGGCCGGAGGGCTCCTGGGTGCAGTGTAAAGGCCAGAAGCTGGCCTTCCTGTAACGTAAAGGAAATGTAATACCCGGGCTCCATCGGGCACAACCGTTGCCTCTACTGGGTCTCGGACTAGCTAAGGAAACCGTAGAGAACCTTTTTAAAAAAACCCAGGTCTCCCTTTCCTGTGCCCTTTTAAGGTTGACTCAGTGCCTTAGGAGGCTAACACAGAAGGGTAAAGTAAGTCTCCATAAAACCCAGAGAGGAGATGGTAAAACTCCTCTTTGGATCCTGTCTGGAGTCACAGCTCAAACACGAAAATTTCCTTTCGGTTGCAGCAGCACCCTTGTAATATTTCAAAACAGTAGCAAATTGATAAATTTAACCCTATCTTTGATAATACCTTCAAGCATGTTTTTTTAAACTATAGGGATACCACATAGTATTTTCAAACAAATAAGAGAATTTGGATACTTTGGTTATCTTTAAAGATGCAAAAAATCCAGATGATGCAATGTGTACCTGAGGCTTTTTTCGTGGACATGATTTGAAACAGAAGAAAATACCCCAGAGGTTTCTTTCTGTTTAGTTATTTAAAACTTCATTTTTTATAGGTTGAAACTACAGGTTCAAGCCTTTGACGCTGGAATGCTGTGATGCTGGTATTTTAACAGACATAACAACTTTCATGCTACAGAGTACAATGCACGTGTGCCTGTAATGAGGTCAGACATTAATACGTAAGTTTGGAGCAGCCGTGCGCCCCTGCACCCGCACAGGAGTTAGTGCCGAGCACAGTGCTGGTGGTGAAATTACAGTGATTTCACCTCACCATTTCCCTCTCACAGCTCTTAAGTCGATACTGTTCTTATTTTACAGGTGAAGCATCGGGTTAGGTATTGGCCTGAGACACAATCATGTATATTTTTTTTTGTGGGGTGAGGAACCCAGCAAAAAATCCAGAATCATCTGGAGGGTGTGCCCCTTGAAGCACTGGCTGCCCCAACCGAGTGCGTGTTCTAGGAACCCATCTGTATGGGTGTGCCAGCTGTGAGGGGCTGTGTTCAATTTCAGTGAATTTTTTGAAGGCTCAGCGCATTTTGCTGTTTCATGATGGGTGATTTAGGAGTGTGCCTGCCCACACTGCCCTGAGCGTTGAGCAGGAAGAGGTGTGACCTCTGCAAAGTCCTTTCTCTTACTGAGGTTTAGTGTCCTGGTGTAACAAGTATTTAAATAGATGGGGCCAGTTTGGGGGCTGGGGGGTGATGAGACACTAGAACTACTTAATAGAAGTTCTTCATAGTATAAAGAACCTATATAAGTTTCCAAAATTTGGCACAAAGGGAGCATTCGTCAGCGTGTTGGGGTTTTTGTTTGGTGGCATAGTGTAAGAAGGGATTAAAGGACACAGTGGTGTTAGACTGTCAGGATAAGAAAGCACTGTAGATAATGGGGAAAGTTTCATGTGGGAAGAAAGCGTGACTGCAGCAACACGTGCTGTCAAAGAACAGCCTAGTATGTGCTAGAAATTCTTTCTGTTGTTCAGCTCGGTGTCTACAAATACCTCGTTTTCCTGAAACCTTAAATAAAGGAATTTAATACTCACCTTGGACTCGTTTTCTTTTTTAAAGATTTTATTTTTGTAGAGGGGAGGGAGAGACGCATTGTAATTGGTTCCTCTCACAAGCCCTCAACCAGGGACCTGGCCCACAACCCAGGCAGGTGCCTGGCTGGGAATCCAACCCAAAACCTTTTGGTCCACAGGCCGGACTCAGTCCACTGAGCCACACCAGCCAAGGTGGAGTCATTCTTAGTATATAACATTGTTCTAGCCTCTTTTCCTAATTTTTTTTTCTATTCCATGTTTTGTAAAATCCAACCTTGCTCTTTGGGTAATTTATTCAACAGATGTGTTAGAAAGGGGAAGTGGGAAGTGCCCGTGTGCACTGGAAGGGAGGGCGTAATTTCAGACAGGTCTGGCCAGGGACAAACCCAAATCAAGACCTGAAGCACCTGAGATACTGTGATTATAGTATTCTGTATTTGATTTGTCATTTATTGTTTATGTAGTTTATTCATTGTCTATATTTTAGTTCAGAAAGAATTTGTATTTCATCAGAACATACTACAATGAGATCTTAAAGATGCAGATTTGAGTAAAAGCCCGTGGCTAGCGCACAAAATACCGTTCGTTGGGTTCTGGACATTTGCTCAAGAAGGTAAACATTTTGCTCTGAGCTGTTTTCACACTCAGTGCAAAAATCAGAAATAGAAAGTAGGTGCTAACAAGAACCCATCCTGAGAACTCTTCCTCCATGGATCTTCATAAAGAGGGCAGTACAACCAAGTACGTCACTATCAATGACCTAAAAAGAAGGTGATCTTAGACTTCATGTGTTTAAGATTTTTTGATACCTACACAGTATTTCCTAGCCAAGGTGATTTAGTATGCTTAAACTCAGAACAATTTTTTTTAAAGTCCTAATTATGTGGCAAGAGGATTATCAGTATCGCTGCATATCATCGGAGAAGAAAATTAGATTCTAATTATGAAGCAGATAGGCCACACTTCACTATAGTACTGAAAATAGAGATTGAAAACAGCGTATGCTCCCATAAGAAAGATTTGGTAATTTGAGTTAATTCCCTGATGAAAGATTTTGCATTAAATGTTTTACATATAAAATTATAAGAGGTTCTGAAGCCCCCTGTAGGAGGTCCACAATAAAATGTTAATTCCGGCACAACACATCAAAGTATGCATTTATTTTGATATCAACTCTTTAAGTATCAACTGACAATTTTTTAGAGAGGAAGGGAGAGAGAAACATCTCCCTTTGGTGTTGGTGGCCTTTGTCAGCAGCAGCCACACCAGGGATCTGCAGGGAACCCCGGGGTGTGCATGTCTGGACGGGGCGGAGAGTGCCGGTGCCTGCCTGTTCCCAGACCCAGAACCAAACCAGCAGCCTTTTGGTGACAGGACAGGGCTCCAACCACTGAGCACGCCAGCCAGGGCTCAATGGAAGAGTTAATAATTTTGTCCTCTTAAAGTGGCTTGGAGGGAAGAATTTGAAGTTTTCATCTAAAAAAAGAACAGGAACTTGGAGCCCAGTGCCTTTCTACTCTGTCCATTAATTTTTCCAAGTTAATGAAAGTATTCTAAATTCTCTGACCTTTTCCTGCTGACAGATAAAGTAAGGACCTACCTTTAACATGGGCCCTTCAGTCTCACCGGAACACTGAAGATGCAGCAGAAAGTTTGGGATCAAAATAACCCGAAGTTACTGCATTTTTAAAACTTGTCATGAAGATTACAAAACATGCATAAAGATAGAATTCAATAAGTCCCTGTGTATTTATCTTTGAGTCAACAACTATCAACCAAAAACATTTGTTTTGAATACTTGTACCATCTAGCCGTCTTTTTTGTCAAAGTGTAATATTTTAAAGAAAATGCAGCAAAACGTATTTTACCATTAAATGTTTCAGCATTCATCTCAATAGAAAAGAGTACCACACCTGGCAACAATGCCAGTAGGGTTGCTAAGAAAATATTTTCGAATCCATACGCAGCTTCCCCCCATTGTCTAAAATGCCTATTTTACAGTTTGAATCAAGATTCAAACAAGGTTTTCCTCATTGTACATAGCTATGTGTCCTAAGTTTTTTTTAAGCCTCTTTCAGTCCAGAAAATGGTGCCCTCCCTTTTCATCTAGCACCCTAATTTCCTTAACAGTTTCGGAGATACAGTTTGGATACTGTAAAACTGACTGCTTAAAGTGCCCAGGTCAATGGTTTGCATTATTCACGAGCTGCAATCATCACCATTATCTAGTTCCAGAACATCTCCATCACTCCAGAAAGATACCGACCCATTAACAGTCACCTCCCACCGCTAGCAACTACTAATTCCCTTTCTGTCTCTAGGGATTTGCCTATTCTGGACATTTTGTGTAAATGGAGTTACACAAGATGCGTTTGGGGGGGCAGCATTGCCTGGCTTTTTAAACAGCATAGTATTTTTCGATGCCCAACAACAGTAGCACTATGCAGTGCTGGGCCGCCATTTCTTTTCATGGCTGAATGGTGTTTCGTTGATTGGATATACTGAGTTTTGTTCATCCGTGTATCAGCTGGTGGTTATACCTTTGATTTTTGGAAGAAACCATGTTTGTTGTCATATAGAGAATTATACACGCTGGCTGAGTTTACTGATGCTGTTTTTTTACCCTGTATTTTTTTAGAAGATTTTATTTTTAGAAGGTAAGGGAGGGAGAAAAAGGGAGAGAAACCTGGATAGGAGAGAGAAACATCTATTGGTTGCTCCTTGTACACACCGCCACCCGGGACTGAACCCATAGCCCAGGCACGTTCCCTGACCGGGAACTGAATGATGCCCAACCTTTTGTGAGTGATGCCCAACCAGCTGAGCCACACCGAGCAGGGGGATCCTTTGTTTTTCTCCGAGACTTGAGAGAAACCCCGCATTCTTGAAAACGTGGCTGTCAAACTTGAGAGTGTGGAAGAAGCAGCTGGGACACTTGCTAACGGTGCAGAATTTTAGACTCCATCGCTGCAGAGTCCAATTTAGTGAACCTGAGAGGGGGCCCAGGAATCTGTATTTTCAACACACCACTTAATTCTGATGCTGGTATTTCCAGAACATGTTTTGAGAAACCTTGTATTTAAAACTGGATTTTAATGGCTCTTAACATTTCACAGCAAAGCGGTAGAAGCAGCTGGTAGGCCTTTGCCTAAGACTTTTTAAAAATAAAGTTGGAAACATTACTTACAGAATTCCTAAAAGGGGTCTAAGCCAACATTCTGGCTGATGTCTTCTGGACCGGAGGTAGACGTTTGAAGGAATGATGGCCCAGGGAGGTGTGTGGCGGGTGTCACTTAGTCACCCTGGAGTGAGAGAAGTAGCCAGATTTAGCTTGAAAGGCAGTGAATCCACCTAGCCTTCAAGAATCTACTCACCACACAGAGATCTACGTGGTAATTGACTCGAAACTTATAAATGCACTCAGATTAATTAGACTACTTTGGGGTTCAGGACATTTGAATTCTTAATCTGAAGCCATTTTCTTCTAGGTGACCAAGAACAAAGTTGTCAATATTCTAAGAGAGCAATCATTTTACTCTAGAAATATGCTATGGCAAAGTGCAACATTTAAAAAATTTTAAAAATATTTTAATCCTCACCTGAGGATATGTTTATTGATTTTAGAGAAAGGTGCGGGGGTGGGGGGCAGAGAGAGAGAGAGAGAAACATTGATCAGTTGCCTCCCATACACAGCCCAACCAGGGATCGAACCTGTGACCTCTGGGGGTGGCCCTTCAACCAGCTGAATCCCCTGGCCGAGGCAGTACAACCGTTTTTTGCTTCAACACTTTCATTACATTTTTCCATTATCTAAATAGAGTGTTTTATGACACGAAAAACTCCTGAGTAGAAAAAGGGTTGTTTTCCCTTAATTTAATGACAACAGTTTTCTTTCACTTAATAGATGAGTGATGCTTTTAAGGATCTTTTAATGGTGCTGGAGCAGCCAGAGCAGCAGATGGAGTCCATTTGCTCTGTGTGCCTCATTAGGCTATCACAGGGGAGGGCGATGTGGTCGAAGAAAAAACCGCCAGTGCCTTTTTTGGGCTTTGAGGGAAAAAAATGGATTTTAGGATATGAAAGCAAAGAGTTTTGACATTCAAATGCCTTTGCAAAGGGTTCATTAGGGGAGTTATCCGTGGAAGGGAATGTTTAATCCTTGAGCAATAATCTCAGCTTCTTGAACTTGTTAGCCTGACTTGTAAGGGGCGAGTGCCTACAGCCAACAGTGTATTTTAAAAAACTTCACGCAGTGAAATTTCAAGCATAGCCCCAAATAAAGAGAAAACTACTGTAAAGCGCCAGGTGCCCAGCCCTGGACCGAGGTTAGCAACAGGTCGCCCTGCGCACTCTGGGCCCTGCCTTAATTTCTGCTCATTCCTTTTCAAGGGAATTTCAGACACTGTGCCACTTGGCCTATAAATATTTTTAGTTGGCATTTCTAATTGATAACGTTTTAGAACATTGCCGTATGCCATTATCACACCTAACTATATTTTTTTATTATCATCCAATACCTGGTCCATGTTCAGTTTCCCAGTTGTCTCAAAGCTGTCCCTGTGCAGTTCATTTCCTCTCGTCAGAACCCAAACAAGGTTCGCCCACCGCACTTGGTTATGTCTTTAAGTGTCTTTTACTTTGTAATAATCCTCCTCTTTTAACTGAACACGGATTTGTTGTGGAAACTCGGGGATTTGTCCAGTGAAATGACCAGCATTTTGGATTTGCCCTTTTTGCCTTCCCTTTGCAAATTTGACTTGTTTCATTATCTCCCAGACGCTGGCTCGATGAGATTCAGGTTGAATGTAACCTGGCAGCCAAGGAGAGTGGACTGGAATGTGCATGTGTGAACAATGATGACTTCACTGTACTAGTCAGTGGGGGCCATAGACACCATTGAGTGAGCATGTGTACTGTGTGGCTGTCACATTCAAAATGACTGAGTAGAGCAACGTATCTGCATCAAATTTTGTGTGAAGCTTGAACATTCATTTGATTCAGAAGGTCACAGCTGTGGGCAACTGATGACTGGCAGCTTCATAATGACAATGTGCCTGCTCATACATCAAGTATCGCGCAGTTTTTGGTAAAACATCAAATCACCCAGGTGACTCAGCCCCCCCTTACAGCCCAGATTTGACACTCTGTGACTTATGGCTTTTCCCAAAACTGAAATCACCTTTGAAAGAAAAGAGATTTCAGACCATCAGTGAGATTCAGGAAAATACAACAGGACAGCTGATGGTGATTGGGAGAAGTATGTGAGGTCCCAAGGTGCGTACTTTGAAGGGGACTGAGGCATCATTGTCCCATGGACAGTGTTTCTTATATCTTCTTCAATAAATGTCTGTATGTTCCTATTACATGGCTGGAAACCTTCTGGACAGAACTCACATATATCTCAGAACGCCCCGGGGCATTGGTTAATAGGTAAATTCCTGGTCCCCACCAGGACCTCCTGAGTCAGTGTTTGGGAGCGAGCCCTGGAATCTGCATTTCTAACAGACTGCAGTAGGGATTTCTAAAGTAGCCATGTAATGAATGTTTTTATGGGACAACCTCATCAGAACTTGGGGATGAAGCACCAAGTGTGTACACACCTGAGCTGTTACTCCAAAAATATGTCACGAGATTAACCACTGATAATTCAAGAAAGGGTGGCTCAGTCAGCTCCTTCCAGAGGGTCTAGTGGAGCTCTGCTGTGCTGGGACCCTTGCAGTGCAGTATCTCGGTTGAGACCATCTAGATTCTAACTGTTGTTAGAACTCCGGGAGAGTTTTACAGCAGTGAATTCTGTGCCACAAGGTTCTACATGGCATTGAACTGACCTCTCTTGAGGATTCCCATGGACCGGCATTGTTTACACTCAGAGCTTCAGATCCTGCCCAACTGTTGTCTACTGGGCCCCAGAGATTCCCACTGCGGGACTGTCACTTCAGGTAATATAGTTCCACATCCGGTAAGACATAGAGTACCATTGTACCATTTGTATTTGAAGTATCAATTAGCACGGTTATATGTTCTGTTTCTAAATTGCTCATCTCCTTCAGGTGATGAGCTCAAATCCCCTAATGCTTGACATTTTGAGCAAAACATTTGTTTAGTTGGTTTTCCATAAAAGTGATGATCCATTTTTGTAATTTCATTTGCCTTTATTGAATTTTAAATACTATTGTTGAATATACTGACTCACAGGAAAAAATACATTGAATGTGTGCTTAAAAAGAGCTGAACTTGCAGATGTTGCCAGCTGGATTTTTTGCAGATTAGGAAGAGCTAAACTGCATCTCTCAGCATTTTTCTGCCTATGTGCTTGGGAAGAGAGAGTGGGAACCAGGTTCCTGGGGCATGGTGGAAGTCCCAGGTCGGCCCTGGGTGGGTGCAGACACGTGGTATTCCAGTGAAGTTCTGTGTTAACGCCGTATCCAGCCCATAGGAAGGGCGTGGCAGAGGACAGGGCGGGGTTGGGCGATCCAGCAGGCCTCTTCCAGGCACAGAATGATACGGAGCATCTTTGGAGACTCTTCAAGCTGCTGGCAACATTCTGGCATTGTTACCTCCAGGCAGAGACCTAGCCTTGGTTTCTATTTGGTTAGGGGCCACAAAGATAGTGTAAAGGAGTGAAGAGGCCTGGCTAGGAGGCTGCTGAATTAGGGACACGTGTCCCCAGCTGAAGGAGGCCACCTCCACTTAGCCTCTGGCCTTTACCAGGATTGTGGGCCCCGAATAGCTGGAGATTTTCAACTGATAATCTGAATTTTTGTGAGCTCTGTAGATATCAAATATTGACATTAATTCAAATGGATGTTAAGTGTAGGCATAAGCTAAACTAAATGTCTGTGGACCCCTGTTTCGCGGAGCTTTCGGTTTAGGGGCCATGGTACTTTAAATTAGCATCCCAATGAAATACAAGGGAACTTATGTTTTCCTGATCACAATGAGTAGAAGTTAGAGGCTAATGCTGATGCTGTTAGCAGAGACTCAAACCATAAACCATAAAGAGGGATAAATTAGCTGTATTCTGGTCAGTAGCCAGAGGTTAGATGCTTGCAGTTGTGTGCCGTTTGTCACCTGGAAGCTCGGGATGAATGTACATGGATCAGAGCAGAGCCATAACTCAAAGTCCACGCTCAGTGATTGTGGGCCAGTGGTGACATCTTCCTCCAAGGAAGCTGTCACAGCACAGAGCTGTCCCCCCGCCCCCGCTGCGTCCTCAGAGGAAGATGAAGCTGAGTATTTACATGGATTGCCTTATAAAACTCTAAGCCTTGACTTGCTGGAAAGAAGGTAAAGAGAACTTAGACTGTTCTTGTCTTTCTGAAGAGTGATAGCCAGACAGCATGTTCTGTTAGGATTGAATTTCAGTGTCAAGTTGTCTTCCAATTAGAGAGCAGGGCTGTATAATTACAACATACGGACATAGTGGTATTTTATGGTTAACTAAAATTAACTTAACAAAATTGATCTGAACTTTGGGAAACTAAATCAAGTTTAAAGAGAAAGTTTAGACTTAATGAGGAAGCATGTTGACTAAAATTCCGCGCCCTATAAAAGGCCGCTGTTGCCCAGACTGGATCCAGCTCGGCCCCTCGTCTGCCCCTTCTGTCCGGCCCTGTCTGCAGCTCCCATGGGTCTTCGTGTGAACCGCTCGGCTCCAGGCTGGTTGGGTCAGACGAACTGAATTGTGATATTCCATTATTTTACAGCTTATGCTCCATTTTTAAAAGCTGGTTGTTTTTCTGTTACTCCTTATAATTGTTTACTATTTATTCACTTTTCTAACCTGTTTTGTTTTGAGGAGTTAGTGGATGAACTCTTCTGTTTGCTAACGTTTCAGACAGACCTGTCACAAGTCTGTGTTACTGTTTTTGTGTCAGTTGGGACATGGACTGATTACGGGGGCAGGCCTGAAAGGAAATGGGGTGGTGCGGACTCACTACCTAAAATATTTCGGTGACTATTATGACATTGTATATGGTTCTCTCCGCTCTGCTCCAAAAGGAAACACAATTAGTTGTTTATTAAAATACAGCACGTTAATACCACAATGAAGTACAACTGCACATAATGGCTAAAGTTAGAAAGCCTGATAATATACTAAGAATAGGATGGATGTGGAGGAAGTGGAACTCCTGATGCTCTCCTAGTGGGGTGTAACTTAGTTTGAGTTTATACTTTAAAACCTGTGTGGCTTGATCCCCCCCAGGTGACCGTATGCACACCCCGCCACCCAGCCACTCAGGCCCAAGGCCACCCTCGGCAGAGATGCGTGCACACGTTCGTCGAAGGACACACAACAACCGCATTCAGAGGAGCGCTTTTGGCAGTGGCCTTCAGGGAGAAACAACTCAAACATCCGTCAGTGTTGAATCTGTAAATGAATTGTGACATCTTCACACAATGGAATACTATACAGCAATAAAGACTGACCAACTGCAGACTTTCTGAGCAACACCACTGAATCTCATGAATATAATACCGACTACAAATAAAGCAGACAAAACAGAGTTACACACTGCATGGCTTTATTTATATAAACACGCAGAAACAAAAAACCCAGGCAAAACTCAGCTATGGTGGCAAAAGTCGGGAGAGGGGTGGGTGACCTGTGGGGAAGGGAGGACAGTGACGGGCGGGGGGAGGGAAGCCGTCAGGGACACGAGTGAAGTTCTGTTTCTTCCCCTGGGGGGCGGTGACTGCGGCCTGTCTGTTGTATGACAATTCACTTAAGATGTATGCACTTTTCGGAATGTATAATTTTAAAAATGCTAAAACCAGGAAGACATTTGATGCTCTAGCTTAGACATAACAGTAGCTGTTTCAAAAAGTTGTAATAACTGTATAGGAATCAGCAATAGCTGTTGATGAAACTCATTATTATATAAGACTGACTTCAGCCAAATGGTTCATAACTAGCAACACCCACCCCCGCAAAGGTAAGAAGCCAACTTGAGTTACCCTGTTGATTAAAACAAAAATCCAAGCAGCAATGAGTATAGTGTGCCAACATGGAAACATCTAGAGTACTGTTTCAAAGATTCCTATTTTTTAATTTTTTGAATATTTTCTTGATTATGCTATTACAGTCGCCCCATTTCCCTCCCTTTGTTCCTCTCGGTCTGTACCCGCCTTCCCGCCAGCATTCTGCCCTCCCCCCGCACTTAGTTCATGGCCTCCAGTCATATAAGTTCTTTGGCTTCTCCATCTTCCTTACTATTCTTAACCAAGATCCCTATTGAACCAGAATTTCTATCTATAACACAAACCATTTGTAATCATTTGCTTCCATTAGCCCTCTTGAAACTTGGAAGCCATTCACCTAGTTCATTGGATCGTGAAAGGCCTGCCAATTGAGTAGGGCATCCCGAGTCAGTCAGCTCCTCGCAGCCCACCTCCTTCTGGCCGCTGGTGACAGTGACGAAGACGACCACGGGGGCCGCGCTCCACGAGGTCCACAGCACCACAGTGACCTCTAGGAGGAGGAGGCTTGTGCGGCCTTGTCCCTGTCACCCTTAACCTGCCCATCCACCCCTGTTGTCTGAGAAGAAATGGAGGAGTGAGAGCCTAATCCCTGACTGGGGACTGGGGACAAAGCTGGACAGTGAGAGTGGAGCCCTGCCCCATCTTGTTTGCAGGGGCCACGTGGTTGCAGCGGTCTAGACGGGCAGGACCGAAGAGGAGAAACACAGGAGCTTCCGCCTGCGGGAAGTCCCCTTCCAGGGGCCAGTCCGATTCCTCGCCCTCCCTCCAGGCGGAGAGGTGGCACTGAGGTTGTGAAGGTGACGGAAGTGATGGCACCTTCTCGGGGAGCACGCCGGGGTACTACCTGCCCTCATCGTAGATAGTGTTTGTGGACACAGAAGGAGTCTACCTGCCCCCAAAGAAACCCTGTTCTAAATCTGATCGGGCTGTTAGAATAACTGTGCCCTAGAGAGTCTACACTTAGAGCTCTTCCAAGGCACATTCCCATTCAACAAAGCACAATGTTCTGCTGCAATGTCGATGAGGTGTCTTAGGAACCTCACTCTCGTTTATTCAGCCTGTGGGAAAACTGGTTTCCTCGCACCTCTTCTCACTTCACATCACGGAACAGACTGACAATGTTAAGTGAGAACTTACCATGTGTATTTAGTGCCTGTGTATACGCCTTACTATTCTGAGGGCTATGGCAGAAAGCAAAGCAGTCAAAACCCCTCAGGGGTGCGGGGCTTCTCTTCCTTTCTGCTGTGAAGACGGAGGACAACTGTACTAGTTACCTCAACCTGCTGGGTGGAATTCCTCTTTCCCAAAGCTTTGGGCCCTTATCTACCCCTAACCTTCCAATAGGGGACTCCATCGAACCTCACTTCCAGGTTAACTCGCATCTCCCCTCGTGATGACGAACACACTCAGGGTCTCTCCACACTAATAATCATAGTAGAAAGGTCGAATAAAATGATCAAACCCTTCCATCGATTGCCTCGTCTCCCTTAAGGTGCTGTCTGACATCTCCTTATTTTACAACCAAATCTCTCCAGAAAATCTCTCTCAAGGGAAGCTCCTTTGCTTCAACCTCCTCACCACACACCCACCTTCTAGGCCTCACCTTCCCACAGGCACGGGCTGTCAGTTCCATGTCATCTAGACCTGGACCGGAGGGAGAGACAGGAAGGCAGGGTGGTGAGGGAAATGGCTGTGATCAGGTCAATAGTGCTCGCAGGACAATAACCACTTGCTGAAAATCTGAGAGCTTCCGGAGTGTGCATGTAGCGTTGTGCCGAGCATTTTAGGATTCCGAAGAAATGTTAAAAGTGACCTTTGATGAGAACTCATCACGGGAGGTGGCACTGAGGGGTCTCCCTCCAGAAGTGAGGACTGACCTGAGTTTTGAGGAACCAGTGGATTTGAAGCAGAATAACTGGCTGAGAGTAAATGGAGTCGTGAGCCTGCCGGCTCGGGAGCAGGGAGCAGGAGTGACGTGCCTGTTTGATTTAGGGTCTGGAAGAGTGGGGAACACACTGGAAGGCGTGGGGCAGAGACAGACTAGGGAGGCCACGGGAGACCAGCAGGAGCTGCTCACTCACAGCACTTCTGAGCTCTTCCTCTCTCTCCTCACCTTCAAAGCCAACATCTTTAGTCTGTCTGCTCACCTCCCTTACACCTAACAACCTATTTCAATATGTGTTCTTGTTTTTAAATTTTTAAAATTGATTTTTGAGAGAGGGAGGGAGGGGGAGAGAGGGAAAAAACAATTTGCTGTTCCATTTATTGATGCATTCATTGGTTACTTGTATGTGCCCTGACCGGAGATGGAACCCACAACCTTGGCACATTCAGGCATCACTCTAAGCAACTGAGCTACCTGGCCAGGGCTCCAAAATGTATTCTATCCTTACCATTCTATGCAAGCTGCCCTTGATAATTCAAAGTATTCTTGAATTAATAGGCTCTGGTGAGATAATACATGAATTGAGGGCAATTAAACTCTCTGAGTCTCAGTTTTATTTTCTCTAAAATGGGCAGTATAATACCACTGCCTTTCTCATAGGGTTGTCAGAGGAGTAAATGCATTTGAAAACCTTGCTCGAGAACTGAATGTTGCTACTCTTAGTATTTGTCTTCCTCAATCTCTTAGCTGATACATTGACTCAAATATCTCTTATTTGATAAACTGACTATTCCTTCCACCTTGAGATACTCTTTGGTTTTGGTGGTGCTGCGTGCTTCTTCGCTTCTGCGCTTTAGAAGCTCTGCCTCGTTTTCTTCGGCTGCTCATCCTCTGGCAGACCCTCGCACGGTGTAGCTCTTCTCCACGACCCCCTTGTCCGTTCTTGCCCTGAACACTTTCCCTCGGCAATTTCATCCACAACTGCGGGTCCTCGTTATCTCCAGTATTTTACTTCCTCTTAGATACATCGCCAGTCCAGGCATTTCCTTCCAGCCCCAGACTTGTGCTTGACGTGAGCATTCAGGTGGCTCACAGTCATCTCACCCTCAACACCTGGGAAGACAAACTCACTTCTTTCCGACCACCTGCACTGAACCTTCCCCCTTCAGCACCCCTGTTGTAAAAACGATGACATTCTGTGTCATTCCAGTCGGAGTCTTGGGACTCGTTTTTGACTCACTCCTGTCCCTCATCCCAGTCAATCACCAGATTCGGCTGAGTACCTCCAATAAGAGTCTTCAATCTGTCTGCTTCCTCTACTTCTTTCTCTTCTCCCCGCCCCCACCCGCCCCCCTTCATTGCCACTCCTTACCTAAAACCTAGGCTACTGACAACTCTGGGTCTTCTCAGCACTTGTTTCTAACTGGTCTCAACTGGGGGGCTTTTGCCCTCCTTCAACTTTCTCTCTCCATGTGGTAGCCAGGTAGAGTGATCTCTTCTTTCAGTTAATCAAAATGGATGGGCAAATAAAATCTAATTATGTTCCAACCTAGCTTAAAAATCCTCCAATGGCATTGCAACTGGCACTTGAAAATAAGGTAAATGTTCCCAAGGCTTAGGGTATATTAACCACCCATAAATACACTCCTGATTTTAGATGTAGTTTCCCTGCTACAGGAACTCTAATTTGATGCTCACTCCAAAGTTAGCTTACCCTTATTTTTTACTAATTGCATGTGATGAGTAGAAAAGACACCCATAAACAACGCCAACCAGCACAGCCTGTGAAACCAAGCCGAGCGAGGGCTCTGCCTGCCTTCTTTTATCTTCGGGTCACCAGCGCCTCACCCAGTGCCTGGCACCCTCTGTCTGTGATAAGTACTTGTTCGATGCATGAAGAAAAAGGAAAGAGGCTCTCATAAAGTTCCTCGCAGAACTGAAATACAATCCACAGAAGCCAGTTCAGTTTCAAACTGGAGCCTACAGCCAGCAAAGTATTTTCCCCTCTGGCAACCAAACATTTACTAACATTTGCATATCAAATATGCTCGCAATAACTTACTTGGCAATGAGGAGGAAGGGAAAGGGATGAATGTGCCAGGCACCGAGCCTGAGACCACATGAGATTTTTAAACATTCACTAGTCCAGGTTCCTTTCCTCCAGGAGCTGCCGGGCCACTCGGAGACAGGCAACTGTCCCAAGAGTTAATGTTTGATTTGCTGGCTCCTCCTGGGGACGAGGCACTGTATCTTTCTTTAGGTGTCGGATGAGTAAAACCAGGCCTGTCTCTTCATGTCTGATGAGGGTTGAGAAATAACAGTAATCAAAAAATCACATGCGCAATAATAAGAGCAGCTATTACATATAGTGGTTAGTATGTGCCAGGCATCTGTTTAGTACTTCACATAAAGTAATGCAATTACATTCTCTGGGGGGACTCTTACTATCTTCGCTTTGTAGACAGATACATTGTGGCACAGAGAGGTTAAAAACTCGCTTCAGGTCATACAGCTAGCACAGGCAGTCTGGTCCCCTGGGTCATTTTTAACCACCCGCCATACTGCCTTTATGCTGTGTGCTATATGGCATAAACATACGTGTCTCTATAAATAGAAGGTCCACAAAGTGAAGAGGAATGGTGCGATAAGAACATATAACAAGGGCATCACACCTTGTCTTGGGCCATTGGAAGGCTGGATGGTGTTAACTAAGCAAAGTGGGGAAGGGGCAGGGGGACGAACAGGAACTGGTAACTAGAGAGAGGAGAGTGTAGAACCACTTGGATGGGGAGTTCATTGGTGGGGGGCAGATCTGGAGGAGGGATAACCCCCCCCCCAAAAAAAAGATTGGTTTAGTGAGCAGAGAGGAAAAGGAAACATTATGAATTCAGAATGAACCTAATGAATTTTAGGGGATAGGGACACTAGTTATGAGGATTCTTTCAGTGGTGAGTAGCAGACACTCAGTTTGAATGGGCCAAAGAAAGATTTTACTGACTTGAGTTGCTAAGAGTCCAGGATACAGATCGGGCAACAAGCGGGTAAATGATGTTGTTATGGTCTCTCTTCCATTCCTCAGTTTTATCTTTACACACTGGCTTCATGCTCGGGTAGTGGAAAGATGGCAGGAGTACCCATATCAAAAAAAGGACTGACTCTCATTCCTTGCTGAACCAATCACTGTGGCTGAGCGACGAGGCACTCTCAGTGGCCAGGCCTGGATCGTGGACCTTACTCTGGGTTTGCGGGGGAGGAGTGTCAGACACACCTGAACTTTAGGTTCTGAGAAAGGGAGAGGGGAAGGTTCCCAAAGTTCAGTCCGGGAGCTGTGCAGGCAAAAACAGAGAATTGCCACCACCGTGGTTGGCTGGAGCAGTGTGCTCTTTACACTTTATAGGCAAAATCTCATTTAGTAGGTCTGAAATGGGAACTGAGGGTCTGCACTTCTAACAGGCTCCCAGGTAAGGCCAATGCTGCTGGTTCCTGGACCACAGTTTGGGTAACGAGGGGCATACGACCTGGAGTGACTGTCTCCCTCAAATTCATGCAGGCTATTAGTGCTGGCCTGTAGCCCATACTTCCATTTGCCTACTTTTCCCAGTTCTAACTGTATACTTTCATTCCAGCTAATTCCTACATTTGAAACACTTTTCTTCAAAGTTTCCTCATTAGCTTGTCAACGTTTTCATGATTTTCACTTATCACTTGCAAATAATAGTTCCTTACTGAGTAAAGTGGAAGTTATGATTATTCTTCAGCTGGTATCTTTTCCAACTTATACCTGTTAATACCCAATGGGTAGTACAGTGAAAATGTATTTAATTATTCATGAGCTTGACAAGATCTACTGTGTTCAATTGATTTGGAGTATATGTAATTCACTGCCTGAGTTTCAGTCTGGATGTTTGTCTACATTGAACAGTTCGGTTTCAGTCTAGACTCTGTTAAAAGGCATGCAAGATATCCTGTTAACTTGCTGATAATAGCATCAGTAATCAGCGATGTTCAGTTTTCATTGTCAGTGGTGTCTCAGTCCTGGCACTTGGTAATCCGTAGTGCCAATGCTGGCAGAAATACGGACCTCTGTTATGGTATCAAATGTCCGTATCATTTAAGGTATTGGATTAATGCCTTTATAGTGGGGTGTCTATGAAATTGAATCTGGAAGCCTGAATTTTAGACTTGAGGTTGCTCTTGAACTTGTTTTGTGGCTTTTCTCAAGTCTTTACAGCTTTCTAGGCCTCAGTTACCCAACTGGCCATAGTTGGGGGTGCTTTGCCATCTTTTTCTCCTTTTCCAAGGTGTTCAGCCAGGTTAGTATACCAACTTCACTTTTGACATTTGGGTAACATGATTGAGGTGGGATTTTTGATCCTCTAAGCTTTATTATTTTACTGATCCACAAAAGGTGAGGGGAAGAGTTTCTATTATTACCTGATAGTTGTGGTCACTGAAAATGATGAAAGAACATTATGACTGATAATGGTAAGGAATCAGAGCTAGGGATCACCATCATAAGGATCTCTGTAGAAACGAGATGTAGGCAGAGTGACTTAACATGGCAGGGAATCTATCTACTCTTTAAATCCACTGAAATATACACAGCCAATATGGCCCACAAAACTTTGGTCAGCAGTTATCTTTTATTCCACCCAGGTTCTTGGGATATCAGCAATCAACGGTTTTCAAATCTTAGTTTATAACACTAAATAGATAATGGAGGAAGTGTGTTATTTTCCCTAGGTTAGATAAAAACTACCTCCAATGCTATTAATTTCTCTTCTAATTCAATCATCATTAAATATACTGGTTTAAGAATTACCAAGCGTTTCACTCGTATAACTTTTTCTGTTGAAAGCATCGAGTTGTTACTTTGTATGCATAATTGTTTTACACATTTATTAATGGGCTCCTCCACTTCGCTTGAACGTATCTGCTACGTGGTGTAGATTTGCTCTTGGAGCCAGAAGCCACGACCTTCCTTGCAGGAAGTGTGTCTAAGCTTGTTCAGCACCAATCTCAAAACCTAGAGAGACTGGGTGCCCCAGAGAGAGGTATGCTTTTCCTTCACATTCGTTAAAGTTTGGTTCTTTCTGGATTCAAATTGCTTCTCAGACCCACTCCTTGCCCAGAACGGAGACTTGTCCTTTGTACCTGCTAATGTCACGAACTGCCTGAGCGCGTCGCTCTGGCCTCCGCCCAGACCCAGATTCCTCTCCCCGAACTCCGCCCCGTACCAGGCAGCCGGCCCACTGCTGGCGAGGGCTTTCTCACACTCCCGTGTCCTGACCCCATTTACTTCTCGGGTGCCCGCCGGTGCTGTCTGGCTGCAACCCCGGGGAGAAATTAAAAGTTGGCCTTAGTCACCCCTACCCTTCTTCGTTTTCTACTCGCCAAGATATAAAGGCCCAGGGCTGTTGGGGGACCGGAGGCGAGAAAGAAAAAGTGAAGAGAGAGAGCCGCCCCTTATCCTCGCCGGCCCTCTCCGCGGCATCTGTGCCGCGGGCCCGGGCGCCGGCCCAAGCCGCTGGCTCGCTGCGGGAGGCGAGGCCCTTCCGCCGGGCGGCGCGGAACGCCCGGCGCTGTCCCCGGTTCCCCGGCGGCGCCACGGGCCCGGAGGAGGCCGCAGCGGGCGCACCGGGGTCCACCCAGGGGACCCGGCGGCGCGGCTGCCGCAGCCGCGCGGGCGAAGGCCTGGCCCCGCATTTCGGCTCAAATGTAGTGAAGCAGGAAATGAAAAGAAAAAGGTTGAGCTCGCTGGCCCGGGGCGCGGGCGACCGAGAGGAGGAGCCGCGGGGCCGGAGCCGAGGCCGGGTGCGCCGCGGGGGCGCGGGGCGCGGGCAGCACGCGGCGCGCTCGGGCCGCCCTCCCCCTCCGCGCCGCCGGCCGCGGCCCCGGCTCCGCGGCTCCGCCAATCCCCGCCCTCCGCTCCCCCCCTCCCGCCTCCCCGCCTCCGCCTCCTCCCTCCCGGCCTCCAATCTCCCAGCCAAACTGAAAGCCGGACCCCAGGCCGCCTCCCGCCGCCTCCCCGCCGCCGCCCGGCCTCCCTGCGAGCGCTCCACCATGGACAGTCCTGTTTTCACCTTATAAAGATGGCGGTGCGGGATCGCTGCAACCTTTAGACTAATGACTGTCCGAAATATCGCCTCCATCTGTAATATGGTGAGTGGCCACCGCGGCCGCCTCGGGGGTCGCGCCCGAGGCGCGGCGAGGCAAAGAAAGGGAAACCGGAGCCGCGCCGCGGCCGGGCTGCAGAGCGGGGGCGGGGGCGAGGGCGACCGGGTCCGCGCGGCGCAGCCAGAAGTTCCCGGCCGCAGCCCGGCCCGCTGGCCGGCCGCAGCCCCGAGAGCCCCTGGGGGAGGGGCGCCGAGCCCTCTGCCCCGGGACCTGAAGCCCGCCCGCCCGTTCCCCGGCCGCGCCGCGTGCCACCGCCCTCGGGTTGCAGTGCAAGCGTCCTGGGGAGGCCGAACCTGGACGTCCCGGGGGAGGGGGGTTAAGGGAAAAGCTGGGAATGGGGGGCACCCATACCGTCCTTGCGATAGAACAAATCCTGCAGGTCTCCCTGACCGCCCTCATCTCATTTTGAGTTCACTCCTTAAACTGTATGTAAAATTCACTTTGCAAAGGCAATCGGTGTATCTGGAGACATTTGAAATGTCATAAAACTGTAAAAAAGTGCAAAATCCTGCTTGGAGAAGTAAACTTCATCTGGTTTGAGAAAGCACAGTTTTGTTTTAGATGCCTCAGTTTCCCCATCTGAACGAGGGACGAGGTTATGTGCAGTAACAGTTGAAGGCCCGTGGGTGGTGGGGCTGGCCGTGGGCGTGGAGGAGGTCTCCAGGGTTATCCTGCCTGATGCACTGTAGAACCAGTGCAGGCTGGTGGGCGTGGACACAGCGAGGGGACATCACTAGGCTCTGATTCTGATGAGGACTACTGGTTCCATGGTATGGTGGTGACTTTAACTTGGGTTTCTCCCATTGCTTTTCCTTGCTTTTCAGTTCCTGCAAGAGCAGTTTCTACCCTTGAGTCCTCAGGGTGCACCCTGCGGGCACCCACCCTGGCTTGTCAGAGTCTTGGCATGCACAGTTTGCCCCCTGGAGTAAGACATTGTCCTCCTGTGTAGGGTGAGAGAGTGTGTGCTTTGCTTTCTTTCTCCAGGGTCCTCCCTACCACTCCCCATCAAAACTGCCCATCAAAAGTGCCCATCAGAACTGCCCTATCTCTAGTAGGAACACATGCTCTTTTAATGTCAGTTTGGGGAAAATCTGCCTTGTAGATAATACTACAGGCCCCTAAAGGGAATCTGAGGAGGCTTAAGAAAGCCTGGAGGTAAGACGATCCAGCTGCCCTTCCCCCAATCACACAGCCTTTTAAATCTTCTGTCCCACATTTTGTTGCAAGATTAACACATGGCAAAGGAGCATTGAGGAGCCATGTGTTAGCGCAGGGGTGGAATTGAGACCCACTGGTGCTGGCTTCAGTTTTCAGCACTGTTGGATGTGATCGCAAATGCTGGGGCTTCCCAGAGTGATTTGGCACAGGACCATCTAGATGGAGTGGGTGGCTCCTGGAGCCCATTAGTTTCCTCTCTTTTCCTTCCTTCCTTCTCCACACAGAGACGGGTCTCCTGCTCCTTCCTGTCAAGTGGCATTAATGTCGCTTGGTGCAGTGAGAAGGTGATGCCTTTCTGCTGGCTTTCTCTCCACCTAAGATCAGCTCCTGAGGGGAACTTTGAAACCAGAGCCTCTTGCGGACTCTTCTTTCATGCCTGCTGAGGTGGCCTCAGGCTTATGGGTAGGTCAGTGAGGGGCACTCCCAGCCTTTGGTGGTATTCCTGTCCTGCTTGTGTGAGGGACACCTCTCTACTAAAGCAGGTTGGAAATTTGAGAGCCAGCGTGTCCCAAGAGGAAGCCAATCTCCAGCTTCTGTTTTGTTTTGTTCTTTGTTTTCATCTTTTCTCCTCGGTGCAGCCGGGGCTTCTTAGCATCCCAGGTCAGGGTGGCACCACCTGTTTCCAGTGAAACCTAGCCCGGGAGGCCAGCTGCAGGGAGGGCAGGAGAGGAGTGGGCTGGTGCTGCGTCTGGGGAGTTGACAACCTCATGTGGAATCTTTTAAAAGGTGCCACATTGAGGATCATCACCCAGGTGAGGTGAGGAACCAATATGTTGTAAGTAGGTTGTTTTATATTCCTATTTGGACACTGTGTTTTGAGCAAGTCATGAAGAGTTTGGGCTGTGAAGTTAGACTTCCTGAGTTCAAGTCCTGGACCTAATACATACTAGCTTTTTGTCTTTGAATGGGTTGCGTGAGCTTTGTCTTTCCTTATCTATAAAAATGGGATGAGAGTGGTCCTTGCCTCCTAGGATTGTTGTGTGAAGTGAGCTGTGAGCCCCAGTATGTGGCAGGTACTCAGTGAGTGTTAGCTGTTATCAGTATCACCTCACGTCACCTTCAGTTGTTTAAAGGACAGTGGAGGTTAGTATACACCTTCTGGGATCTGATGGCAGCAGCCACTAATACACTCAACTCACGTGTTCACTGACGTAGACCAAGGCCACAGGCAGCAGACAAGGTCTGGGATGGGAATCCTTCACCCTGCCCCTTCTCAGAGGCCGCCTGGGTCACTCCTGCCCCTCCCAGTCTCATTTCCCACGCTAGAAGGCTTGGTGATGAGGAGACTTCTGTCATCAGACGTAAATTACCCTTGGACTTCTCTTTAGATTCTTCACACAATGATGAATTGTTTCCAGGTAGGTCTTCTGAGGGTCTCTCCACACTGTTCCCTTCTCTCTGGGGCTCTCGTCAACCCTTCCCTCTCCTAACTCCTGCTGTCTTACCTGGCTTGGGGAGTTGTCACAGGAGCAAGTGGCAATTGCTTTTTTTTAAAAAATGCAAGTCATTTGGCATATTTTAAACATGCAGGTGGGCGTGTGTCCAGAAGGGTGTTAAACGACATCATCCTTCTAGGTAGGTCTTGAAGAAACCAAGACCTGGTGTTGAAAGTGGACTTGTTTTGTCCACCAGACAAGAAAGGACCCAGCAGAGCAGAACCAAAACTTGCAGCAAATCCTTCATGGGATTGAGAAATAAGCGCCTTTTTCTTCCCCTCAAACTTCTTGTGCCAATTTTAGATACAGGGGACTTGGAAGACATTTTCATTCCTCCACTGGTCCCATTCCCCACTGAAGTTTTGTTGTCTGTTGATAAGTTAATGCTAGTTCCCATTCGTCTTAATTTTACGTTGTGTGAATTCCTGCCATGGTTCTTGATCGGCTTGCTCTGGGCTTAGCCGTGTAGCTTGTTCCTCTGGATCCCAGACACCAGAGCTCGTTTGGCTGGTGTGTTGTCATTTTTAAAGTGCACAGGCTGCCACCAAGAATGAGGAAATGTCCCTTGTTGATAATCCTCTGATTTTTGTCCAGGCCAATGGATTTAACTTGCTTGGTATTTTTATGGCCGTACAAATGGAAGGTTTTTGTTTTCGGTTAAGTTTCTGTTTGAAGAACTTGAGGAATTTTTCTAAAGAGGAAGGATTTGTTAGGAGAAACCAAATGTGCCCTCCGGAAATGTGACTTGGTCTGATGCAAATTGGTCTAAGCCTTCTAATCTGAATTTTGCTTGTTGATAGTTCTGTGAGCTGCATGGAGGAGGCGCCAAGTGTCATACAGACTGCATTTTTGTTTGCAGAAGTGGCCATTTGTTGAGGCTCTGCTATGTCAGTGTTGTCACGTACTATGTGCCAGTTCTAAAGAAATGAATGAGGTGAATCCCTGTCTTCCAGAAGCTCGGCAGTTTCTTATCTTGTGGACATAACATTGATAAAGATGGAAATTTCAGTGTAGTGTGACACCCACACAGATCATGGTTGAACAAGCCTGGCTGGGTGTAGCTCAGCTGGGTAGAGCACTGTCCCGTAGGCCAAGGTTGTGGATTCCATCCCCAGTCAGCACATGCGAGAGCCAACCAGTGAATGCATGATAAGTGGAAGCACAAATTGGTGTTTCTCTCGCTCCCCTTCTCTCTAAAATCAAAAAATAAAAATTAAAAAAAATTGTTAGGAAAAAAACAAGATTGCACTGAGCCTCAGAAGCAATACAGTGGAAAGAAATATCGACGAACACAGCAGGATGTTTCTTTAATGCATTTGACCAAAGCTTGACTACTTTTTACATGCGGACACGGTTATAGTCAGTGTAACTCTGGACTGGAATCTGTGCTATTGGGTGCCTCTCCGGTTAAGCATGAGTCTAATGGTGCCTGTGAAAAAGGTGTATTTCTTGGGAACTTAGTTTTACTCAACTTATAAAACTGATTTTTGTTGTTGTTGTCAAAAGCTCCTTAGTGAGTAGTATTTCTTAGAGTCTTTATACAAATCTGCATCTCTTAATTGGTTAGTGACCGCTTGTGTACCTTGTTTGAAACTGTATTGAACTTACCAGATACTGGCATTTAAAAACATTTTATTATTTATTTGCAGAGAGAGAGGAAAGGAAGGAGAAAGAGCAGGAGAGAAACATTAGTGTATGGTTGCATCTCACACTCCCCCCTAATGGGGATCTGGCCCGCAACCCAGGCATGTGCCCCAACTGGGATTCAAACCTGCGACTCTTTGGTTTGCAGGCCTGCACTCAGTCCACCGAGCCAGGGCCAGATACTAGCATTTTAGGATCTATTGAACAATCCTAGGATGTCGTTGGACACTATTGTGAGTGTCAGATTTGAATTCTTTGAAAGAAATGAATTCACCTTGATACGAAGGGAAAGTAAAATTAGGAAAAATTTGAAACAAAGCTAGATGATTTTTACAGAGATGATTTTATTTTGGTAAGTCAGTTACCTGAGGCACATTTTTTTGAGAATTGTTGGGAAGAGTTTTTAAAATATTGAAAAATAAGTAACTATATAATTTGGGAGAAGAGGTAACTTGCCTCTTCCTCTGTGACTCCTGCTTCCCGTTCTCAGAGATAATAGGAGACTGTAAGTTTGGTTTTACTGTATCAGCTGGGAGTTGTTACAATTACGTGTGAGGTCTGTGCTGATAGTGGTCAGTTTTCAGAAAATTGCTGGGTGGGGTGGGTTCATGTTTAAAGAAAAATTCCATTCTGGCCTCTGGGGTTTTGTGTAGGGTCAGGTCCCGACAGTCAAGTTGTACGCATTTT